TTCAACTACAGGAATAAATATCTATTAAGTAAATTTTTAAAGATAAATAAATAAATAAAATGAAAGTTCCTTTAGATCATTCTTAATCATCCTTGTGTTCCCAGATTCTCACACAGTATATAATAAGTAGGAGGTCACTCCTGTTCAATCCTAACCCCGTTATAGTCTCACTGCCAACCCCACTGCTCCATTGCAACTTCCCTATCCAAGGTCAAACCAACCAGCAATTCCCTTGTGGTTAAATCCATTTACACTTTCCGGTCCTTTCTTTCTTGCCTTCTCTACAGCATTTGACCCTGTGGATTACCCTCTTTTTGCCAAACCCTCCCACTCCTTTGCTTTTCCTTCTACAATTCCAGCTGCTCCTCTTCAGTCTCATTTGAGGATTTCTCTTTTTCTGTCCATCACTAAAATGTTCAGTGTTCTTCAGGTGTCTTTGGTTGTGTTCTCTCAGCACTCAGCACACTCTCTTGGGGCCATCTCTTCCATTCCCATGATTTCAGCTAGCTCCTTCTGCTGATGACTACCCAATCCAAATCACCAGCCCAGAATTCCTTCCTAAATGTCATAATCACATACACAACTGTTTACTGGGCATCTCCACTAGAATGAAAATCAGGAGTCAAACTCCTTGAGTTCATCCTTGCTTCATCACTAAACTATATGGTGTTGGGTAAGTTATTTCCTTTGTGGTTCAGATAATAATGATGGTCCTAACTTACAGGATTGTTGTGAGAATTAAATGAGACAATTCATGTACAGGACTTAGTGCAGTACCTGGCAATGAAAAAATGTTGATATCAATAGTAATTAAAGGCCCTCAGAAAGCTCAATTCAACAGATTCAAAAAATGAATTCATCAACATACCCAAAACTTCTCTTCATTCTTTGACTCAGATCTCAGTAAATGAAACCATCTGCCCAGCCAGAATCTCCAGTGTAATCTTTCTTTCCCAATCACCAATCCTGGCATTCTATCAGGTGCTCTTCCTTGACGTAAACCTTGTAACATACCTCATAGTGTTCCCAAAGTCCCAACTTTACAATTAGCCATTCAATCCACGGAAAAGTGCTACAGAGTAGGTGCTATTATTATCATCCCTAATTTGCAGATGCAGAATTTGAGGCACAGAAAGATTAAGGTAACTCATCCAAGATTATATGAGAGGCAAAACTGGGATATAAACCTGAAGTGGGAAGCCCCATAAAAAGACCAGCAGGACCCCCAAGCAGGGCCACTACTCTCGTGCCGGCACCATCCGGTTCCCTGGCCCAGAGGCTGTATCTCACTTTTTGCCTCTAAAACAGCTTACTTAACCCTAAAATTCTATTGGTTCCCTGAGCTCACTTCTGATTGGTTATTTCCTTCACTCCTGATTGGTTATTACTCTCACTTCTGATTGGTCCACTTCTCTAACTTCTGATTGGTCCATTTGGAGTACTTCATTTGCATGGAGCTCACTCCTGATTGGTTACTTCTCTCACTCCTGATTGGTCCATTCCCCTCACACCTGATTGGTTATTTCTCTCACTCCTGATTGGTCTATTCCCCTCACACCTGATTGGTTATTTCTCTGACTCCTGATTGGTCTATTTCTACAAAGCTTGTTCCTGGTTGGTCAACTTCTGTTATACTTTATTTGCATATGATGTTGGAAAGTGAAAAACTGGCAGCCTATAAAGGCCTGATAAACCTACGAACAGGGTATGGAACTTGGAGTGTTAATTTTTCTGGCTTGTTGGTGTAATAAACCTGAGTTTTCCAACTCTCCGAGTGCTGCTTGGTCTCTATGCTGGATTAAGGTTGCTGTCACAACTGAGCTGTAGCACCCAGCTGTAACACATTTTTGTGCAACAAACCCAGGCAGTTTGGATTTAATATCCGTATTCACAACCACTATACTAAATGTCATAGGGCTTCTATTTGGAATATTTATTACATTCTATTGTTTGTCTTTGTTTCTCCTGCTAGGCTGCCTGTTATTTGAAATCGGGAAGTCTGATTTGTTTGCAGTGGCATCTTCAGTGACTAGAATAGTGCCTGTCAAACAACGAATGCTTAATATATTCGATGAGTTAAGATAATTCCTTAGGGACAAGACAAAGTGTGAAAAATGGAAGTAACTGAATAGCTATGAGGTTGCACTCAGTTATGGCCAAGGTAAAGGTTTTGTTTGTGGAGAAAGTTGTGTTTTTTATGTGAGGATAACAAGCAGAATACCAGAGTCAAAGATAAGTAAAGGTTGAATTTAAGAACCCATTGAGGAGGGGGATAACTCAGTGGTAAACCCATGCTGAGCATGCACCAGATCCTGGGTTCAATCCCTGGTACCTCCGTTAAAAATACATTTTTAAGTGAATAAACCTAATTATCTCCTCTCCAAAAAAAAGCTTAAGAACACATTAATACTGATTCAACAGTTACAGGGCACATGCTATAATTCTTTATAAGGACGGGAAATTTGACAGACTTATAAAGAGAACTCACAGACTTTGATTTGCAGTTACTACCAATATTTTTGAACTGCTTTTTTAAAAAAGAGGCCACTACCTACTCCCATGTCATTCAAATTGCATTAAAGGGCTCAATTCCAGTATCATGCTGGATCTGAGAATTAAAATTTAAGTTGGGAGACAAAAAAAATGTACGCTCAAGAAGAGTTCCAGTTTACCATGGGATCCATTTAAGTGTGCAGTCAGTTTATATTCAGCACCACCTGGTGTGCACTGTGTACCCTGTGAATTACTCTGTCATAATAAACAAACTGATACAGGTTTTCCTTCAACAGTAGCAACAGAAATGCCTGCTGTACAAACCCTGGGTAGCCCCAAGAGAGGGAAATGAAAATGCCATGCCTAAATTTGTTACTTCCCATTTCATCTCCTCTCTCTGTTCAAGCCTTCCTCCGTTCCACCCCAGGGTTATTTCCTTAATCCTTCTGACCCCATCTGCAAGCTTCCATCCTGTGCCATGTTGGAAGATCTCTGAGGCACCTGGACTCAGCAAAACAATACTTTCTTCTTCTCCTGCTGGGTAGTAAAGCGGTGCCAGCCCAGGCCCCGAGCCTCATCAGATTGATTAGGCAGAGTCAGGCAAAATTCGCGCATCATGGCCCTCCCCAGTTCCTGGTATCAGCGACCAGGATAACTCCAAAGACTCTTTGGTGTTCTTTTCTTTCTTTTTTCCTTCGCATGGCCTAAGCGAAGAGTAATTAATTATGATTTATAAAACGTAATAAATTGCAGCTTATAGACTCTGAGCGCAGAATAAATATTTTTCCTGAAAGCCCAGTTAGAAGAAACCCGTCTAAAATGAGATGTAAAACAACAGCAATTGAAATAAATACTCGAACTGCATGATCCTAAGCGCTGTCAAAAAAAAAAAAATAAATAAAGAACTGTGTACTCTGTCTCTGCAATAATGGGCATATAATAGTAGCATTGCTTTCAGCCCATCTCCCCAGCGTGCTGGACAAGAGTTGGCTCAAATAAGGAAAAAGCCAAAGAAACCGGGGGAAAAACACGCCAATTATTTCTGATGCCTGGTAAACAGACTGCGCCAGAGGATAAGGCTTTTCTGGCTCTCAAATACGCGTTCTTTCCTTTCCATGTGTCTGTCCTCCTCCCTCGAAGCTGCCGGGAGGTCTAAAAATAGTCCATGAATCACGGCAGATAATACTGTGCAGCAGTTACATAAACAGCCAGCCCGGGCAGGCGCCGGGGCCGAGGGTAGGAA